TCTAGGGTATCTAACACCCTCTTTTGGCCTCCTCAAGCAACTGCCTATGGCACACACATGTACACCTAGGTGCACACATATGCACATAAGAAAACAAAAAAGTCTTTTTTTGTTTGTTTGTTTGTTTGTTTGTTTGTTTGTTTTTTTGAGACAGGGTTTCTCTGTGGTTTGGGAGCCTGTCCTGGAACTAGCTCTTGTAGACCAGGCTGGTCTCGAACTCACAAAGATCCGCCTGCCTCTGCCTCCCAAGTGCTGGGATTAAAGGCGTGCGCCACCACCGCCCGGCAACAAAAAAGTCTTGATGGAGATGTATAGATACATGTCTATTTATCTCTCCAAGACACATTAGCTAAAACACAAGACACAAAACAGTGGGTAAAAAATAGTGGAACTGGGCTGTGGAATTCTTCCCCCAACAAACACACACACACACACACACACACACGCGTGCACATGCGTGTACGTGTATGTGTGTGTGTGAGCATGTGGAAATTTAGTGGTAGAACATTTACTTAACATACTCAAGGGCTCAATCAAAGCAGGGGGAAGGATATGATATTTATCTTTTAAAGGGTAAAGTTCTAATTTCAACATATCCCTAAAAGCCATGCCATCATTTTGTTCAGTTGCTTTAATTAATAGATACAATAGTTTCATGTAGCGTATCCAAAGACCCATGTGAATGCTGGTTCAACACACAGGCCCCCTGGTGCTGTTGGCTTACTGAGGACACAAATTTTGAATTAAAATCACACATATTACCAGCTGCAAGACTTTTTCTTCATCTTTAAAATGAGGAGACCAAAGTTGAAAGTGGTAGAATAAACCTATAATTTTAGTGCTCAGGAGACAGAGGCAAGAGGATTGTCATGAGTTTCAGGTCGGTAAGATCTACATAAAAAGACCCTTTTTATAAAAAATAAATTAATTAAATGAAATAAGGGGCTGAAGTCAGAGCTCTTCTCCCCTTTAGTTCACCCTTAGACTTGCAGGAACATTAGACAGTGACTCATAGTCCAGGCAGGCTTCTAGAGGAAGTAAAGAAAAGTATTAAAAGAGAGCCTCTTCCAAATTAAATATTTAAAGTGAAGAATTCTGAATTTGTTAAATGCTTATCATTATTCCAAATGTATAATTTTGACATAAACACTTTAGAAATATTCTGTCCATTTGCTATGTGTTACTGTTGATAAAGGAGGCCCTCCGTCTAGAATTACTATATGCCATTAATGCGTCAACCATAGCCTGAGCATTTTAATTACTTTGAGTATTTACTGTTTAACTGTATTTAACTTTAGATTCTTCTAAACTGACCTGATGAAAATCGGGATGCCAGCCAGATGTGGTGGTATACATCTTTTTAATACCAGCACTCGGGAGACAGAGGAAGAATGGTCTCTGAGTTTGAGGCCAGCCTGGTCTACCGAATGAATTCTCTGAAACCATGTCTGGAAACAATAAAAGGGGAGGGGTAGGAGAAGGAATGCTAAATGGTAAATGACTGTGTCATCTGCTTACTCTGTGTTATTTCCTTATTATTTTATAATATATAAATATTAATTTATTATTAAATTATTATCTTAGAAGAATGTGTAGACATAAATAAAATACCTTAGAAATAAAAGGTGTAGTATTACAGCTCTGAGGAAAGATTTTCTGGTAGTCAGGAGCCAAGAAGTACCACAAGGTCACACCACGCAGCAAACCTCACACAAGAGATTTATTGGGAAAGACAGAAGAGGGTGGCTGCCTCTGCTCTGGAGAGAAACCGCAAAGAACCGAGCAGGAGACATACTTTACTTAGGATTTTTTGGGGGCATGAGCTTTCCAGGTTGGCCTAGGATTGGTGGGAGTTTGTGGCCTGATCTTGGGCTTTTTTACTGTAGGGTGGAGCTTGTTGCCTGCATTTCAAGGAGCTGGAAATGGTCCATTTAGACATAAGTCCTGGTCACTCACCCCACAGACTACTCTAGGGGCCTAAGAAAAGTGATTTATTTTTGTTAGGATTATAGTAAAACTTTGGTTCTATATGTATAGGTTGTTTTTCTCATTGTCGTGACCAAATACTGAGAGAAGCAACTTAAGGATTTGTTCTGGTTCCTGGGTTCCAGAGCCACCATGTTGTGAAGGGGATGGCAGAGTCCATGACAGCAAAAGTGTGCAGATGCCACTCCTCACATCTGGGTAGAGCCGAGAAACAAGGCACAGGGAATTCTGACGCTCATCTTGTTTTCTGTGTTTATGCAGTCTGGCCCTGCTGCCCGTGGAATGCTGCAGGCCACATTCAGGATGGACCTTTCCCTTCAGTTAAGTCTCTGTGGAAACATCCCCGTCCCAGAGATGTGTCCCCTAGGTGATTCCAAATCTAATTAAGTTGACAAAGAAGATTAATCATCAGACACTAAAACTGGTAAAATAAACCTCAGTACACAAGCATGGATTGAGTTGCGATAATGAGTTGATGGAGCAAATAAGTGTAGGTCACATCCTTGCTTATCTAACCACGGGATGGGAGGGGCCTGCACTAGCCCTGCATATCACAGACCTGTTCTGGTCCTTCTCTGGTCACTTCACATGGGTCAAGCACAGGCCTATGGGGTGCACAAACACACATCTTCTAGAACACAGTACCATGTACCCAGAACTCTGGCTCTAAGGGTCCCAAACTGCTTTCCAGGGCCTCCAGAGAGCTCTTTCCTGAGCCATTCTTACAAGGAGTCAACACTAGTATTTAGCTTTAGGTCAAAAGGAGGCTGAGCCAGGTTTGTGGATGCAGATGGGGTTTGTTGAATTGAGAGAAGGCAGGGCACAGACAGCCCTATTGTGAGTGAGGCATCTTATCACGCAACCCTGAATCCGGGGTGGGAAATTAGGGGGTGTTGACAGAGATTTCTGTTCCTGCCTGTTTCAGCAGCCTTTCAGTCCTAAAGAAACACACAGAGGCCTACATTAATTATAAACTGGTTGACCTATTAGTTCAGGCTTTAACCCATTATTCCTGTATGTGTTAGCCATGTGGCCTGGTACCTTTCATCAGAGAGGCAGATGGTTGTGAGCCACCATGTGGTTGCTGGGAATTGAACTCAGGACCTCTGGAAGAGCAGCCAGTGCTCTTAACCTCTGAGCCATCTCTCCAGCCCCCAGCGAGGCATTCTTATCTTGCTTCCTCTGTGTCTGGATGATGACTGCAGACTGAGCTTTCCTCTTCCCAGAATTCTCCTGTTCTCATTGCCCCACTTTCTGCCTGGTCACCCCACCTATACTTCCTACCTGGCTACTGGCCAATCAGCGTTTTATTAAAATATAAGTAACAAATCTTTATAAGGTACAAAACCATTGTCCCACAGCAGGGGTTTGGATTAGGAAAGGAGTCAAAATTAGTTAGAAAGAACTGAATTCCACCCTGGATGTCCACACTCTTACAAAGGTATAATGGGAAAGACAGGAAGAGAGACCCTCTTTTACTTATTTTATCCTGATACATGAGAGCTTAATTAGATCAATATTGTGTGAGCTTAATTAGATCAATATTGTGTGTGCGTCAATGTGTATGCATGTGTGCTAGAGTGTACCAGTGGAGGTCAGAGGACAACTTTGGGGAAGCAAATCAAATTCAGGTTGTCATACCTGCAAAACAAGCATCTTTTGCTTGCTAAGATACCTCCCTGGCCCACATTTTTTTTTAATAAAGGCAGAGTCTTTAAGGCCTGTCTGGATTTAGAGATCCTCCTGTTTCATCCACTGAGTGCTGAAATTATATGGATATATTGCCCAGTCCAGTTTAATTTGTACCTTTCAACATTTAGGCAGACAGTACATGGAAGAAAGGCTAAGTAAAGTCATAACCTTATATTGTTAACCTTTGAGCACTTCCTTGCTTTCCCTAATGACCAGTTTAGGATTTGAAGACATGCGCAGTGCACAGTGAGCATGTTATGTCAAGGTGTGAAACATGGACAAATACTTCCAGAAACACCTGGGATGGTGCCTTAATTTTCAACTGTGTTTTGGTCTTTGTACATTTAGGAATGGTTTACTGCTGCAAACTTTAATACACAGCACCACCCCCATTCAGATTCTGTGCAACTGCCATGGTGTCCTGACTCACTGTTAAAGATGTTTTGGTTAAAGTGGCCCTTTGCATATAAAACTGCTGGCTTGAGTAAAGAAAACTAAAAAAAAGTGTAGAATAAGGAACCACACAGTGATTCCATACATTTTTTTATTTTTATTTTCCCTTTCTAAATGAGTTTTTTAGAATATAGTTGTCTTTCTTCAAGAAGCCTTTTGCCATGTGGATGGAGGCAATGATAAAAATTGATACTATGTTCTGGGTCTTTATAACCCCTAATTCATTTTAAATGATACAAGGTTAAATCAATCTTGCTGTCACAGCCTGCCTAATACACTCTGGGGTGCCTTGGATTCCCCCACAGCTGAACAGTGGGAGAGAGGATTTATTCAAGGCAGTCTGGCTCCACACCTTGGAGAACTGTCTGCAGAAGTAAATTGATTCACAAGTAACTAGTCAGAAACCAAGTCTTTCTTTCCTGTAAAAGTTAATGGCAAATGGAGCCATCACGTTCCTAGGACAGCACGGGACTGCATACATCTGCTGAGTATTGGGAGTCCTTAATTTTTTTTTCTTCTTCTGGCTTTTTGCTTTGCTTTTTAAGTGCTGGTAGCAAAATAACCTTGTTACAGTATCTCCCTGCAAATTCTAAGAAGAAAAGAGGCAGGGAAAGGAGTGGGAAACAAGAAACTGCATCTGATAAAATGAATACAGTCGGAACGGATTCTATAGCAGGAGCAGGGAAGAGCAACGCAGTTGTAGCAGAGAGGTGACACAATTCTCTGGGGTTCTGGTCCCTAAGTAACCTGTACCACTAGTGTTCGCCCGCCGCCTTGCCAGGTTCTCAACCTCCGCCCCGCCCCGCACGGCATCTTGCCCCGCCTCCTCGGCGCCCCGCCTCCGCCCCGCCCTCTTCAAGCGGCCTGGCTCCGTGTTTACCCGCGTTGCATGTCGGGGCGGTCTCCTTAGGCAACGGAGGCCTTCGCGCTGCCCCGTGGCGATGCCGCGAGGGCGCGGTGGCGGTGGTGGGCGCCAGGTCCCCGCCGCGTCCGCGCCCTTGGCGAGCCCCAGCTACTACGAAAGGGTGGGCCAGCTCCAGCAGGCGCTGCGGGAAAGGTACGGTCGCGGGACGGGTTGGGGAGTCAGCTACGCCATTGAGATCTTCGGGTACCCTGTCTGGCGTTCCTTCCCATTCCCGCCAAAGGTTCGCCAGGCCCGGGACCCGCCTACGACCCTCCACTAGCTCCGAATGGGGTCCGGAGCACAAAGTTCAACACAAATGACCCCTTGTTTGAGTTAGGCACACACAGAGAGACTGGAATCTCCCATGGCAACTAAAGCCGTGTCCTTCAGCCTGAGGGATGCGGCCAGAAGTCAGAGTGGGAGTTCTTTTGCCTGCCAGTCCCCATCAAGTCGTGTGAATTTCTCTAGTCCTCTACTACACGCCTCCTCCTCACTCTCTCTTCAAATTGTCATCCTAGCTTGACACTGACTCTGCATCAATGATGACGGGTCCAGGAGCGCAGGCTGGAGTGGGGTGGTGTGCATGTAACTGTGTATTTAAAACCCACGTCCTGCTAAAATGCAGGAGTCATTTGAAGGTGTCTGGGGCTGCCTAAATTTTTAGTGACGGGATGAAATTTTCAACGAGCTCAGCATCGAGGGTTGGTATTGCCTTTAATTAAGGCATGAAAGATGAGAACCATTGGAAAGAGCTAGATCTAAGAATGCGTAAAGAGAGAAAATTGTAAAGCAATTGACGATAAATAACCACATGAAAGATAAGTTGTCGGAACGCTTATTTTGCTGCCAAATTAATTGGACTTAGAAATCTCATTAGTTGACAAGAAAGGAAATAGATTTTTTGATCTCTTGATAAATAAAACATTTAATGAGTGTTAAAGTTACAGAATCATTCAGATGGAACAGGAGAGCTATAACAATTCTAAGATGATAACGATAATTGCAGGTGAGGTAAAGTAAGTGATTTTTCAAAGGAACCGCATCTCATGCCAGACTTAATTTTTGTCAGTTGTTTGTGAACTGTTTACCACAGGCCTTAGCTGTCCTTTTCACGTTTTTTTCTTCTTTCTACATCCTGTTTTCTTTCAGATGCACTCCTGCTCACCTACCTAGGGATCTCGTAATCTCCCACTTTAAAAAAATTAATCAGTTATGGGTGTGCTGGTGGTAGTGTATGCTGAAGAGGCAGAAACAGGAGGATCACAGGTTCGAGGCCAGCCTAGACTACATAATGAGTTCCAGGTCATCCAGGGAGATCCCGTGTTAAAAAAAATCTCTATGTATTATGTATGTATGCATATATATACATATATATATCATCTATCTATCATTCCCTGCAGAGCCTTTCTTTTCCAAACACTTCGTAATGTTTGTACCTTCAGCTTATTTACTGCTTTCTTGGGGGAACACAGGTGACATCTTTCCCTTTTTTCTTTGGCCTACATTGAGTATTCTGGGAGGGAAGAAATGACACCTTGCAGGCCCTTTGGCTTACAGTGTAGTACATTTTGGTGACAGAGGAGTTTGGTAAAATATTTGAGTTTATGAGTGGAATCCAAGAGTCAGTTAGCGAGTGTCTAGGTGTTATGAATGCCTTATGTGGAACCCAGTGGCCTTGTGTTGCCATTAAATAACAAAACTTTTCTAGTCATCCAAGGTGATATTAAATGTACTCATATACCAGATAATTAAAAAACAAGACTTTGTTTCTGTGCCTTTAGCTCGCTGCTATAGTTGAAGAGTCGTCTAGTTACCTTGGGCTTTAACTTATTTGTGTTTCATAGCTAAAGATCTGGTCTTAAAGTGTGACTGATTTAAATGACATTCTTTTTGAACCAAGTCAGAGGTGAGTTGTTTTTGCCTCCTGTGCTCGAAACACCTGGCTGTTTATGGTCCTTATGGCACAATAACTGTGTAGTGGTTATCCACTTTATGTTTAGCGCTTCTTGCTTTAATTATTAAGCAAGGTAAGGTTGTTGACGTTATATAAGAAATTGGAATCACATTTTATGGCCTGTTCATGGTCCTGCATTTGAAGATTTGGTTTATTTTTAAGTCAGTATAAATCTGTTCCTGTGTGTGATCATTTTTCATTTTAAGAATCTGTAAGTAATTCTAATTAATGCATACTGCACACAAGATAGAGAAGCAAATAACTTTAGAGAGAACACTACAGTAAGAGCACAGGAGCATGAGTTCTAGCCACGGCAAGTCCTGAGACCTTGACAAAGGGTCACTGGCCTTTTTGAACTTTGGTTCTTCAGCAGAATGAGGGAATTAGATTAATATATGTAGAATAAGGATTCATTTTCTTTCTTTCTCTTCTTCTTCTTTTTTCTTTTCTTCTTTTTTTTTTTTTTTTTAAAAAAAACGGTTAGTAGGCTTTTAAAATATTAAAGCTGTGTTGGTGAAATGGATCCATAGGTGAAGGTGCCTGCTGCCAAACTTAATGCCCTGAGTTTGATCCCACTACAGGGTGGGAGCAGAGAAATGATTCTTGAAAGTTGTCCTCTGACTGCCACACATGGATGTGTGTGAGCACACACATGCGCACGTACGCACACGCACACACACACACACATACATACAAATAAATGTAATAACATTTGAAGCTAAAAGCCAGTCTCAGCATAGGGAGCGCTGTCTCCTGAAAGTCTGCGGTCCTCTTGAATGCTGCTATTTGGATAGCAGTCAGAAATGCTTTATCAATTCGGAAACTTTAGAGAAGCAGGAGATTAACGGCAACAACAAACAGTTCAGCCTTTATCACCCCTTTTAGAGGCAGCCATTGAAAGGTTAGCTGAGCTGATAGCTGGGCTCTCCCTTTGAAACTGCCCTGTTTTGAACACCAGTCATCTTCTCTGTATTCACACATAGGTGTAATTATATAGCTCGAATGTTTTTCTGTGTGTATGTAGTGCTTTCTCTGCATTGTCGTGAAAGTCAATAATTGAATCTAAAAGAGTCTAATGGAGTGACATGTTGCAGTGTGTATAGTGCCCACAAGTGTGGTAGAAACATATAAGTGGGACTGATGCTTAACAATTATTGTATATAAAAACATCCTTTGAAAGGTCCATTAACCAGCCCCAGTTATTTTCAATGGCGATATTGATTCAGGGTAACATATCATAATGGTCCAGAAATTGACACTGAGGCATTAGTTGAGTAGAGCTGAGGGTGATGGAAAATTGTAGTATTGAGGCACAGACAGCACAAGTGCCTTAAAATGCAGAATATCCAGCCTTGTAAGAACAGCCAGCTGTGAAAGCCCAGATGAGAGGCACAAGTGACTGAAGCGTGGGCTGTGTAAGCATCGCAGGTTTGGGCATTTCAGAGTCTGAAACAGAGATTTGCTATGTAGGCTTCACATAGTGATCCAACCAGTAAGCCTTCCCTTTGACTTTCACTGAGGTAAATATCAAATGTTTGAGCCGTATGTTTAAAACTGGCACGAAGGACCACCATTTGGAGATGCAGCAGCATGGAGGAGGGAGTTAGAAGACAGGAGCTGACGAGATCAGCACCATTTTGCATGGAATAGAGAGCCACGATGTGTCTGACTGTGGTTGCTAAGATATGGAGTGTTTGAAGAGAGGAAGTGTGATTAGCAGGTGTCTGCGTCCCCCGAAGAGAGAACTGAGACCAAAGATCTTTACATCATTATTAAAAAGAACTTGCAGTTTGGAAGGTGATGGAGTTTTGGAGAAATGGTGGCCCCCTTCTCTAGATACCACAGATTCATTTTAAAATAGTCAGGCTTACAGCAAAGTTGCAAACATGGGACAAAGAACTCCAGTATTTTCCTCACCCAGATTCTCCTGAAGTCCTGATACTGTATTTTCATTTTCTCTTTCCATATGCCTATTCAGATCAATGTTCTTCTCTGCGATATTTGAAACTGTAAGTGTGATAGCTTATCACCACTAAAATCTTCAATGTACTTTAAAGAAATAAGAATGCCCTTTTAGATAGCCACAGTAGAGCTCTCACAGTTACCTGCCAGCCTTGCAGTGCCAGTCCACACACTCACGCCAGACACCAGTTGTCCCAGCAATGTCCCTCTTTCCTTCTGGTCCTTACTGGTCTAGGGTGTCATTGGGAAACATGGTTTGCATTTTGTGTGCCATATCTCTTCTGTCTTCTTGGAGGGAAATTTTTGGTCCGTCCCTGTTGGTCATGGTCCTGACAATTTAAATTTTCTGGGTCCTTTTGATGATTCCTCATGATCAGACTTCAGTCTTTCATGTCTATAATACCATGGAGGCATAGCATTCTAAGATCCATTTAAGTGCAAATTCCCTGTACCATCTAGTCATTCATTTTTCCTGAGTTAAGCACCGAATTGGTTATAGAACCCTTGAAGGTTTAATAATCATGATCTCAACACGTATTTCTAATGTGGAAATAAATATACGATGTCCTTTCAACATTTATTCTGAGTTCATTCTTTTTTCTTTGTTTGCTTTCTGAGACAAGCTGGCCTCAAACATTTTCTCTTACTTTGAGAATCCTTGTCAATTTTTGTTTTTCAGCTAGGTTTTCACTATATAGCCCAGGCTGACTTCAATGTCCTGATCCTCTTGCCACAGCCTCTCAAGTGCTGGCTTTACAGGCATGCACAACAGAGCTCCACTGATGTTGAGAATCTTGAGTTTTTGCTTCACGTTGGTGTTCCCCTTGTTTCTTCTGCTTCCTTGGTGATAGGTCTTTGTTTCAGCCACTCATGACATTTTCTCTTTTTCAAATAGATTGATGGAACAGTCTCACAAAGGCGTGATTTTAAAGGTTGTCATGGTCTGAATACAGTAAAAACAGCTTATACAGTACAGTGACTTATTCTGTTGTTGTTATTGTATTACAGTGAAAAGAAGAGATTCGACCTGGAAGACAAGCTTTATGAATACAATAAGTCTGATAAGTTCAGGTAAGAGGTGGCAGTGATGAGTGTCCAGCTTGTTTGCAGCTGTTAGTCAGAATTCAATCCCTATACTTGTGGTGGTTGCACACACCTTTAGTAGAGGCAGAAGCGGGCAGATCTCTGTGTCTCTGTGAGTTTGAGGCCAGCCTGGTCTACATAGTAAGTTTCAAGCCATCTAGGACTACATACCCTGTTTCCAAAAAAAAGAAAAAAGAAAAAAGAACCCCTACTATTATATCATAGTTCTTATAGTTGGAATGTTTTTGTCACTATTTTATTTTCAATGCATAATAATTTGAAGTAAATACTATGATTTTATATAGCTATTATAAACATTTTGTTTTCAGTATTTAGTTTTTTTGTATTAGCAATATGATTTTACTAAATTTTTTTTTTTGTTTTTGTTTCTCGAGACAGGGTTGCTCTGTAGCTTTGGAACCTGTCCTAGAACTAGCTGTTATAGACCAGGATGGCCTCGAACTCACAGAGATCCATCTGTCTCTGTCTCCTGAGTGCTGTGATTAAAGGCATGTGCCACCACTGCCCAGCTTGCTTAAATATTTTAAAATAAGGCAGTATAGTCTTTTTTGTTCTTATTTAAACATATTTATTTCCTGTAGTGGTTAAATCATGTTCTAGCTTTTTTCCATCTTTCAGGCCTTGATAAATTGCTGCCCCTGTGAGGGCCTCCTTGCAGGGTCAGCTAGGGCAGGTTATTCTGAAAAGTCCCTTCCTTTTCCTCATGGTCTTCAGCACGTGGTAATTACCTGCATGTTTTTCTGTTGACTGTAGCTAGACAGTTTTCATACTTGCACTACTGAATAGATGCAGGTTTGCTTGGGTGGCTAGATGGCTTACACGACCAGTTTTGAAGGCTAATAGCAAGAATGAGGACTAGAGTTTGAGTGGAGAAGACATGGCTGCTAAGCAGCTTTATTAAGTCTCTAGATATGAGTGTGTTGAGTCACCCTCCATTACCGTCATTTGTGTCAGAAATGCAGGTACAGGCAGGGACAGTGGTAGATTGTTTTATTCAGAAGGAAAGATGAAGACAGCCAATCACAGTTAAAGCACGTGTTGTTAGTATGATAATCTTCTGGTGTGGGGAGAGGGCTCAGTGCAAAAGTCCTGGCTGGGCAAGCCCGAGGACTGAAGTTCAGAGTCCACATAAAGCCTGACTTGGTGGTGCTGTCTGAAATCCCATATCAAGATGGTAGGCAGAGACCAAGTTCCCTAGGAATTTGCGAGCCAGCTTATCTGCTATATGTGGTGGTGAACAAGAGACCCTGTCTCAAACGAGATAAAAGGCGAGGAATGACACCCGAGGTTGTCCTCTGACTTGGACAGAACACACATTCATACATAAACACTCCCCACCACTGCCCCCCAAATGGGAGGGGGGCAGGGGTTTCAGAAATCTTGTTGACCTAGAATTAGAGGCTTAAGATCTATTGTTGATTAATTTTTGAAATTTCTAGGATCTTCAAAAATTTGTACTGGGAAGGTAGATGAAAGAATATAAAATAAAATATATGTAGATAAAAGAATATAAAATATCTTACTGGACCAATAATACAAATGCTCCCCATAAGATGCTCATTTGTGGTTCAGTTCATTGTGAAGTAGGAAGAAGATTAGCATATCAGTCTATGAGAAGAGAAGTTTGTGTACTTAGCTGTCTACTATGTCTTTTAGTTTTACAATTTGAATAAGAGTCTCCAAAAGGTTTCTCAGAGTTTAATTTTGCTATGAAATATTTCACTAACATGTTGTAATGTCTAATACGTTTTTACATTATTTAAATGACAGTTTTTGTATTTTAAATTTTCTTAATTTTATGGACTATAGTTTATAGTTTGATTCTGCTTTTATATGAGTGATTAATTTAAAAATTGCCATCATATAGAAACTGGGCTAAGTCTGCATCTGAATATGACTAAAGAGACAGTGCTCTTGAAACCAGATTCCAGTTTAAGAAATAAATCCAGAGCTGGGTGTGGTGGTGCACGCCTTTAATTCTGGAACTCAGAAGGCAGAGCAGGCAGGTCTTTTCGAGGCTAGCCTTATAGAGTAAGTTCCAGGATAGCCAGGGCTACAAAGAGAAACCCTGTCTCCAAAAACCAAAACAAAACAAAAGATTCACATAGCTGGGCATGGTGCCACACACCTGTAATATTCACACAGGGAAGGACCACAAGTTCCAGCCCATCCTAGGCTGTATGGTGAGACCTGTCCCAACAGCACGAGTCTTTCCTGTGTTGTCCAGTGGCACTGTGCCTTTCTCAGGAGAAGTATGTCGTGACCAATGTGATACCATAATAATTTTCTTTCTCTGAACTTTCATATGCATTTTATTCCTGGACATCAATGCTTTGAGTAAAGTTTCTTAGATTTTTATTGTCTTATTAACACTTTTGTTAAAGAAAATTATTCTTTTTTTAATTTATTTATTTATTAAAGATTTCTGTCTCTTCCCCACCACCGCTTCCCCTTTCCCTCCTCCTCCCCCAATCAAGTCTCCCTCCCTCGTCAGCCCAAAGGGCAATCAGGGTTCCCTGCCCTGTGGGAAGTCCAAGGACCACCCACCTCCATCCAGGTCTAAAAATAGAAATATTCTAGAAATAGAAAATTATTCTTAAGTTTGTTAAATTTGAGTTATATTATTAAAGATCTACTTTTTTTCCTTAAGAGCTAAGCTGAAATGTGCAAGACTCAAGAAATACCTGAAGGAAATCTGTGAATCTGAAAGGAGGGCTCATCTCCGAAACCAAGGATATTTAAAGAAGTTCGAGTGTGTCCAGACTTATGTTGAACAATTGACCACAAATTCAGAGAAGCTTCAGAAACTGAAGGTAGCATCTTGTTTTTTACAATGTGTTTTGAAAAGCTTTCCCGGATCAGTGGCAGCCACTTTCAGTTGTCTGAACAGGGTTATTTGTTATTGTGTGAATTTAAGCATCAGTAAGGTTCCTTTTAGAAGTCGATTCCCTCTTTTTTTTTTTTTTTTTTTTTCCCTGTTTTGTGTCTCTTTTGGTCTGGGCTGCTCTCTTCAGGTCAAGAGTCCATTAGGATGGGGAGCACTGATGAATGCTCCTGGCCTCTGTGGTATAGTGACTGCTGTTCAAGGCTTCCTTTTATTCTGGCACCTTAGTCCCTTCTAGTGCATGCCTACATGGTGCTCTGAGCACATGTCAGCAGAACCCAGCACTAATGCCAGAAACCCAGTTTGTGACCGTTAGCTTAGCAGTAAGCAGAAGTTTGTCCTAGGAGATGTTGGTCTTTTATGCCAGTGTCTAGTGTTGGCCTTAGTTATGATGGAGTCATCTGTTCCCTCTTAATACTTTTCCACTTGATGCCAGATCTTTACCTCCTTGCTAAGGACCTTGGGTAAATTACTTAAAGATGTTCAGAGCGCATCGCCTATGCCTCCAAATGTTGCAGACTTTGTCCTGGATAGAGCATAGTTAATACACATGAACTTAAAATTCATAGAATTCTAGGAAGGAGAACAAGTTGAAACAATTTTTGAGAGATGGAGGTTTTTCTCAAGTTACATTTGGTCAGTTTCTCCTTCTTTGTAGAGATGAGCCTGCCCCACCTTTTTGTATATATAATGCTAAAATCCTTTAGAATAGCTTGAAAGCTGAAAAAGAATGAACTGGCCTCGTGGCTCAGCTTATGATTTTCTGCAGTGGCTCTGGAGCAGTGTGGGCTGAAAATGGATGGGTAGGGGTGCACATAGGGCTGGAGAATTAGTCATGTACTCCTATAGACAGAGAAACCTCCATGGGCTTTGAGAGGCCCTAGACACAGGTACTCAGGTACTGGATCTTTGGAGCACAGAAAAAGGCCCTTAAGACACATATAGAGTATTTATTTACTAATATATTGCAGCCTCCCACACTGTATTAGGCATGGCACCAGCATGTCAGAATTTAGGAAGGGCAAGCCTCACCCAATTATGAGGTGGAAGACCACGTATCTTAGGTCAGAGCCCAGGTGCTGGTCTCTACCTGCTCACTACCCCCACCTCAGTCCTATGATGCACCCCTCATACTTACATACACATAGTCTCTCTCCCTGTTTCCTTCCTCTACCTCTCCCATCCCTGTATCTTCCCACTGTTTTTCTACTTCTTTATCTGCTGGACATGTGCACCCTTTCTCTCATGATCACATATACCCACAGTCCTTTAACCTGCTGAACAAACAGCATTTCCTTGAATGCCCCACATTATCTCATACCTGCCTTTGTCACTTTGCCCTGTCTTAAGTCTGTGTCGTAATTACCTCTGTCCTTCCCTCATGATATTCTGTTTATGTACTGGTTGTTCTTATTTCACTGTGGGTTCCTTGTCTTAGGAGGTCAGTGCTCTGTGTCCACCCAGACTGTGATTCCAATAAGCACACAGTAAGCATTGAGACCTGATTGAAAGTCAGTTCTTCCATATTTGGAGTCTGGTTGTCTTAATGGATTGTAGCCACTTATGTGAGAACTAATATGGGGTTAGTTATATCTTTTGTATACCTTGTTACTATAAGTGCTAGTTGAATAAATGCACCTTCTCTTGTGTCTTCTAGTGAGACTCTACTCTCTAGGAGGAAGCAAGGGTATTGGAAAAAATAGGGGGAGAGAAAACCAAAGATTCACCTGAGAATCAAATTAAACAATTTGTCACTGTGCCCATCTTCAGTTATAACCTGTGGAAGTGGGGCTGCTGACTGTAAATATCTGTTTAGTGTAAGCTGTTTCCCTAGTCTGTAACTGAGAATCAGCTGTGCGATTTCAGAAACCAGGGAGGGAGAGAAAGTAGTGGGGAAGAAGGGTAGTGGGGACATTGTCAGGCAAGTGACAGTGTGGGGGAGGGAAAAGGAGTGACAGTGAGGGTGCAGAGGAATGAAGTAGGGGGGAAATGTGTTGTGAGTGCGGGGAGAGCCCAGAGACCTGTAGGACTGCTTGTCTCTTCCCACGGCCCAGCTTATTGTTAACGGTGCCTAGTAATTTAGCTGAATCAATTGCTTTTGCATATGAGGAAGCGAGTAGAGAGGTTCTCTTAAATTTAGGTGGACAGCATCACCAGTGCCATGAAGCAGAACTGTTGCTGACAGAAGGTGCTATCACATAGGTTAACTCACTGCTGTTAGTTTATAAAAACGGATTTTCTAGGGTGGGGAAAATGACAAGAGGGTCGTCCTGGGATTCTGGATTAGGTGATGCTACCCGGACATGAGTTGCCCTTCCCCCCTAAATAAGCAAATCTAACCACGAAAAGTTTGTGTGTCAGAAAGGAAAGGAAGACTGGAGGAGTATACACTAGAGAGAAAGGATCTGTTCCAAGCCCTGATGTTTTAGGGAAACAGAAAGCTCTTGAGCCTGATCAGAGAGAAGATGAGGGATGAGACAAGAGAATGAAGATGCAAACAAGGACATGTCCTCTGTCGAACTAGACTTTTTTTTCTTTTTTTCTTTTCTTTCTTCCTTCCTTCCTTTCTTTCTTTCTTTCTTTCTTTCTTTCTTTCTTTTTTTTTCTTTTTGCAAGAACAGTTAGGAAAATTAATCTGTATGCTATTTTAGAACCAAACTTAAAAAAACCTTTTCAAGACATTTCTTGTGCGGCTCAGGTACACATGAATTCACCATTCTCCTGCCTCTACCTCCTCCCTGAGTGTTGGGATATGTTGGTGTGTATCCATCCTAAATAAACTTATAAAAGTAGTAGAACCCTTTGCTTTTGTTTAATTGCAACTGGAGAGAAGGTGGCACTAGGGAGCTAATAGTCCTGCAGCTGGAAAATTTCTAGCATTCAGAATATAGATATGGTAGTTCTAAATGTCCAGAAAGGGCAAAGAAAAAGAACGGAATATTCTAGGTGGTTATTTTTCTAAAGGGTACAAAGATATAAGTTTCTATTTGTTATTAATTTATGGTAGCATCATTCTGCTTTCAAAATTTATTAAACAATTTTTTTGATCCATACTTTAGAAGGAGTACCATATTCAGTAAACTTCAGTGTGTTGAGAACAGTGTAGGTCAGGCCCTTGAGAATGCATTTCTACTGTTTCCTTGAAACTTTATGCAGTTATCATTTGGTCTTTGCTTCAACATAACTAATTGAATAAAACCCTCATGCTTCTGTGAGAAAGTGCTCTGTTTGGGGGATGGCTCTGAAATGATCCCTAATAACCAGACTGGTCCAATACTCACTGATCATAACAAAAAAATTATAGTCACAGCAGGAGCAGTTTTATATGTTTTTATTTTATATCTCTATTGTAATCTGACTCTCGTCCTTTTAAAAGTACTTCTCCTAGTATCTGACAAGTTTGCAGTTTGAAAGCGTTTGGGCTTAGGAATTGAGTCTGTCAGAATTCAAACGTGTAGACGCAGAGCAGAAGCGTGGAAACTGCGTTTTGATAGCTGCCTATTCCACTATCTTTGTTTACTTTATCATCTTATTGTATCATTTGCACTGATCTTATATAAACTTTAGCTACATAGTTCCTTGATGGTTATTACCCTCTGTCATGTTAATAACAGCACCTGTTAGAAGAAATAGCATTATTAAAAAGGTGGGCATGTATAATATTTTTAAAAGTGTTAAGGCAGTTTGGGTTATTGTCGCTTATGCATTTTTTGTCAAAACAAATTTCAGACCTATTTTTTGTTCAGAATGGGAGCTAAGGAAACAGCCTTTAATTCATTATCTCGGAGGTATGTTTCTAATTGTTTGTATAACTGCTTAATTCAGAAACATCCTGATACTTATCTGTAATGAACTGCAATCAGCGGCTTTTTAAGGCTTTGAGTAGGAATATACTGAATCAAAGTACTTTCATGCTGTGCATTTTAGAGGAATACATTTTGGAACTGAATCATTTTCTTTTTTCATATAGTTTCATATATATATAGTTATAGCGAGGTGACAATGCAGGCCTTTTGATGTAGTTACTGATGCCCAAGCAAACTTGATTTTGATGGTACTAGTGACTGCCTACAGTATGCTCTTATTTTTAGAGAATACAGCTGATTCAAGTTGATGCCCTAGTAAAGAATGTACTGAATTTTGTGACTCTGAGGATCCTAGTGATAGAAGATAAAATATGTAATAATACAACAAACCCATAGGACTTCTGTTTTTTCTTTCTTTCTTTCTTCCTTTCTTTTTTCCTTTCTTTCTTTCTTTCTTTCTTTCTTTCTTTCTTTCTTTCTTTCTTTCTTTCTTTTTAAGCTTTGAAAATAGACATCTAACATCTAACTTTTAGAATCAAGTAACTGGGTTTTCATGATAGTTTAAAGAAAATATGCTATTGCTGTGTATTGAGGATTAAGGTTTTCCATAAAAAGGTAGAAAACTAAAAATCCACTAAGCCTTGTTTTACTTTAAAATTATGTAGCATTTCATAGAGTTCAACTTTTGATATATTATTTGGGAAATTGCCTTTTTTCTAAGATAAGCTGAATTTCTCAGCAACGTCAGCTTCTTTCTGCTCCATTGTTCCTTTTTTGTTGCAAAGATGGCAAGCTATAGGTGGCTTGTAATAGTGATAGTATCTCCCATAAAATCAAACTTTGTTTATGTTTAGACTGAATATGAGGCCGGGATGAAGAAGATGCACCTGCTGTTGAAAGACAGCCTGGGGACGGAAGGGGAAGCCAGAGAAAAGGTAGCACAGTAAGGCGATGGATTTTATGGTTTTTAGACATAAAATTTAGACAATTTTTAGAGTGTTCATATGTTGAGAGTTTTAAATAAAATTATCTTATTATAAGGAGTTTTTGATGGAACCATGATTGTCTAAAGAATTTTGCTTCTGTGATACTGTTGTAATGTCTAATTTAATTAAATTTGCCAAAAGGTAGTCACTTGGACTTAAGATTTTATAGAAAACTGAAGGGATTGCAAAAGATAAAACTGTATTTTTATCATTAGTGTTTTGTAGCTGCTTTTTATTGGACTGAGAAATGTTTTAAATGAAAATAAACTAAGTATGGTGCTTTGATTCTTTCCTTTGTATGTATAATTTTTACATTTGAACCTTTCACGGACAAAGTAGGAAGAAAAGATTGCATATCTAAGCAATAGACAAAAAGACTGGCAAAAAATACTTAAATAAATTCTGCTATGTATCTGCCGTAATACAGGCTTCTAATCCTTCTGCCTATCTCCATATAAATGATTCTGCTCAAGACCATAGATGTTTTCTTCACTAAAAGCAGTAAAGCTCTTTTAGATGAAATGTCTAAAAACATCTTGTAATAACTTGGAGCATGCTGGCAAGAGTAGTCACTTGTGACTATGTGTGAAACCCCCTCAGCCAGTCGATATTGTAATAAGCAAAAATGGGAGCATCACTCCATTATTCAGAGAAGCCACCAGCGTGCTTGTTCCTTAGGCTGCAGCATTCATTAAGAAAAGCTTACTGGGCTGAAAGCTGGAAACAGATGATAACGGGATATGATTTTCATATTTAATGCTTTCCTTGGAAGAGTATGTGTGCTACAGATTGATAGAAGAATCAACTGCTACTTTACTAAAAGACTTTCAGGTTTGCCCTATAGCTACCGATGGAATCATTCAGCCAAGAAATTAACTTTTTCTCCTTTTACCTGCTTTATATATCTGCTAAGCAGGCTGCCTGGCTGCCAGTAAATGTTATTATGCAGTTAACTGTTTGGTATTTAAGACTCTTATCAGAAAAGAAACAGAGGCCACACTATTTTGTTTTTATGGTAGGAGGAAGGTTTTAGTTTTCCTTTCTTCCTTGCACTAGCAGGCATTAATCTGAGTTTATAGAAGTTTTAGTTTTCTCTTTCCATAGATTAAAAAGTTAAAAAGCTAGAATTTAGAGTATTCTTTAAACAGTAAGATACAAAACACCAAGCCCCAGCAACCTTGACCTATATAAAAGGCCTTTAATGATAAGTGATTTCTACACCATTAGATGTGGGGCAATGTGGTGTGATGTGATAGACTTCCAGACCAGACTGACATTTCTGTTGGACGTTTGGCCGGGAAATAATTGACATACTTTGAATCTACAAACCGGTTCGTTCTTTCTCTGCTGTTCTTGATAGACATATTCCAGTTTGTTCTTTCTTTGCTTTCCTGATAGACACATTCTTAGTGTGGCTGTATCAATGACACTTAAGTAAAATGGAGAGTTTTAACCCCCTGTCTGCACTACTGACTCCTTACCTTGCCTATAGTTATGGAGTCTCCATTTGATAATTAGAACAGAGCATTTTCTTTGTACTGAAAGCTGTCCTCAAAAGCTTTGACTGTTGACTGTAATAAAAATCAATTAGGCAACATTTTGAGGAACTTGTATCTTGCCTTTTCTAATTTTCTCTTGATGACTAATCAGTTAAAAGGTAAACACACTGCAGCAAAATCATGGCTTAGTTAATCCTCATTAAATGCTAATTTCTAAACAAGTCCTTATCTATGAATTATGTTGTACTTTTTATTGAAATCCAAGCTCCTCTTCTTTAGATAGTCATAGGAATTTCTCTCCATGCCCAGTTACTGGTGTCTGGAACTTTCTAGTGCATAGTTGAGAAACCACAGTAGGCCTCTCCAAGAATGTCTTTATTCTTGCTCTTGAGATAGTCTCACAAAACAGTGTTCTTTCTGAGGCACAGGGTAGTGTGTAATAAGTGCCAGTTAGTTACGGGGATGAACTTGAGTTGCAGGAGAAAGATGAGGCTGCTTCCTCTGTGGTGCCTAACACAGGCCGTAGTAGAGGAAAGGGTGCTTGGCAGGCACTACAGGATGAGTAGGACGATGGATGGTCTTTGGCAAAGTGTGGACACTGTTGGTAGTCATAGCACCACCAGTAAAGGAGTAGGAGCAGGGAAGCCAGAAGGTCATTGCACAGTGAGGCTGAAATCTAAAAAGATTGTGGGACACACCATAAAACGAATTTGGACAGCTGTATCGTGAGATTCAGTTACCCATAACTAAGGCTCTGTGCCCAAGAACTGAGCTTTTCTTAGAATAATGTGTGCTTGTGTGCATATCTGTGCTTATTGGGACAAAAGAAGACACAGACTGATTATATCACAGGAGTGAAGCTGGCCAGGGTGAACCTGGAGAAATGAGAATCGGGGTAACCATTGCAGAAGAAATCACTGATGGAGGAGAGAGGCTAGATCAAAGCAGTAAGGCTAGATCATAAAAAGATGGTTTTAGGGATGTAGCAGATTGTTAGAGTTCTTCATGTTTCAGTAATGGGAACATCTGTTCCAGTTGGCTTGATTGTACAGTAGAAAGAGTTTAAATGGAGAAAGCCTGCACAGGCAGACACCAGAGTCACTGTGAGTCTGCTGGTCAGGAAAAAGCTTTGAAACAGCTTTAACCATTGACTTGAGGAAGGTCAGCAGAGGTGACCTACTTGCTGCTTGGAGCAGCCCCGATGTAGGAGAGGCAGCATCCCAGTGTTAGATGGGGAGGATGGTTTTTCCCTGAAATTTTAATAAGTGGAAGGTGGATGGTGCAGGAAAAGGAAGAACAAAGCAGAAATCTGAGAGGATGGATCTACTGCCAGGTCATAGCTACACAGCAGTAGCAGGGCACAGACAAGCTAGTCTTTATATCAGATTCTTAAATACTGAACACATGTGCCTTCTTTTGACAGTTGTTAGTTCCTGCCTCTTATTGGCTAACTCTCACATCTTGATTAACCCATTTCTAATAATCTGTGTAGCACCATGAGGGGGTGGCTTACTGGAAAGTTTCTAGCCTACATCCATGTTGGGTCGGAGCTTCATTGCATCTCTCTCACTGCCTTCTTCCTCCCAGCATTCTGTTCTATCTACTCCACCAACCTAAGGGCTGGCCTATCAAATGGCCCAGGCAGTTTCTTTATTAACCAATGAAATCAACACAAAACATAAGACCCTCCTACATCATTTCCCCTTTTTCTGTTTAAACAAAAAAGAAGGCTTTAACTTTAACATGGCAAAATTACATATAACAAAACAGTTATCAAGTAAGAATTATAGTTATAATATTTATATCTATTTTATCTTTTATCATAACAGGAAAACAACTATAACTATCTGTCTATTCTTCAACTCCATCAAAGATTCCAAAAGAATATAATATTACCTAATTAAACAAAAAACAAACAACTTTTAAACTCTAGAAATGACGGAGACATCTCTGTGCCTGGACAGTCACCCAAAGTTCCTCTGTACTGTTGGGGCATCCATCTTCGGCCTACAGGGCCACAGTATCCAGAAGACTCTTCCATGAAGCAGGAAATTTCAAAGACAGTTCAGTCACTTTCTGCTGTGTCCTGCAGAATGTCTCGCAGACTCATGAATCAGGAACCCCAAAAGACCATCTCACCTTTAGGCAAGTTCAGCAGTCCTCTCTCTGTGGGTTCTTTGTGTCCAGTTCATGCATCAGTCCAGGCAAGAGCAGTTTCTTGCCCAAATGGCTATCAAACTCCATAAGGATCCTCTTCGATGCCCATCTTCCTCTTGAAGTAGATTGATGCTGCCAGGAGCAGACATGTCTCATTGTCATGAAAAGCCCTAAGTCATTAAAACATTAAATGCCATATTGTGCAGTCTTTGAAAGATCTGAAGAATGTCTATCTAACTGAAATATATCTCTATATATCTAGAAAATCTAAAATGACTACAAGCTTTACTATTATTGATGATTATGCATTAGCAACCTATATTTCCTAATTATACATTACATTTTTAAATGAACTACACAATCACAATACCTTAGTCAAGATCAGAAATACATATACATATAACAATATTGACCTTAAATTTATATCAATAGAGTAAAATTTATACCAATGCAAATTATTCATATCTATATCATTTCCCCGTTTAAATGTAAAAGAACATTTATAAACAATTTTTGGGAATATGGGCACAGTTTTTTCTCTCCAAACTGCTTCGTGCTGAATGGGGACGCTGTTATTTAGGTCTTTCATGGTATAACCTGTGTGCTAGATTCATCTGAGTCAGCAATTGAGTGAAGTAATTTTTTTGAGGGTGTTCACAGCAACCTTTCAGGAGGGCGTGGTCTATCATACCATATTGGGATAGAAGCAATCCACAGGGTCTCATCCTCTGTGAAAACAAAAGAAGAACTTTTCCAAAGCATTATAACCTTAGATCCAATGTCTCTGACTCCCAGGCATTGGGATTAAAGGTGTGTCCTGCCACACCTTGAAGTCACAGAGGTCAATCTACCTCTGCCTCCCAAGTGTTGGGATTAAAGGTGTGTACCACCACACCCAACTACTCTCTTTTTTTTTACTTTAAGAACTTTAGCCTACGTATATTTTTAACACACTGTAAACCATTTGGAGGTTTTCTTTGACTTTGAATCTCTCTTTACTGTATATCTCTTTTTCTGACCACATGAGTCTTTATGGAGAGGATTAAAGCCGTGGCTTTGACAGCTGGATCCAGCCCATTCCTTAGCTTTCCGACCTCATGGTGGAGGTACCAGCTATAGCCTTGTTTATCGCCACAACTCTATGGCGTTTCAAGGTCCTTGCCAGCAAGCAAGCTGCAGCATTCTGCTCACAGACCACACTTAGTCGGACTTCCTGCCTGAAAGAGTCAGAGTTTGCCCTGGCAGGATGGCCCAGAAACCGGCATTTTAAAACAGCACAGTTTTTTTCCTGCT